CCAGAGCAGGGTCGGGGTGCAGGGGAGATAGGTTTTCCCCCAGAGAAAGCTCCCATGACCTGCTGCAGGCACAGGAGCCCCAGAACAAGAAACACCCACCCAGAGCTGGGGCTTTTGGGCATCACCACCCTCTCCCAGCTGTGGGAAGGAGTGGGAAGTGACCACAAACACATCACAACCGCCCTGGGAGCACCGCGGGCTCAGCTGGGGTGGCTGCAGCTCCTCCTTCTCCCCATCCCTGGCAGTGCCCAGGGCCAGGCTGGACTGGGGCTTGGAGCAGCCTGGGACGGTGGAAGGTGACCTGTGGCAGGGCATGGAATGAAATGAACATTAAGGTCCCTCGCAATCCAAATCACTGTGGGATTCGATGACTTTTTTGGCTGCTCCGTGCTCCTGTCGGAAGGAGCCCCATGTGCCCAAGAGCCCCAGCAGAGCCCGGAGCCTCCATCAAGGAGCAGCATGAGGTGTCTCAGCCCCTTGGGGCCGTGGCAGCCGCAGCAGGATGGGCTGCCTGGGGACAGGACACGGCACAGGAGCGGCTCCGTGTCCCCACCTCGCTCCCAGCCCAGGAGCTGCGTCTCCATCCCATGCGGGAGAGTTTGGCTGCGGCAGCCGCGACTTCCATCGGGCACGGGAACAAACCCCCCAAATGGGAAACAGGGCACGGTGAAGAGCTCAGATCCCTTTAATCCAGCTGCTGCAGCGGTGTGCGGGGCTGGCACAGAGAGGATCCCGAACACAAGGCCACAATCTGCGGGCGGTGCCGCGGTGAGGATGGGCGGGGGGGGATGGCCCCACGCTCCCCCCGCTGCATCCCGGCCCTGCCGAGCTCGGCCTTTGCACATCTGCAACTCCTTTGCTTTCCTTTCTGTTGGTTTTTTGTTGTATTTTTTTTTTTTTTACTCCTCCCAGCTCACTTTAAAGGTCCAGCTTAGGGCATAATTAGCAAAGCAGTTAAAGTGGCGAGGGCAGTGACCTTCGGCGGTGGCAGGAAGCGGCAGCCGTGGGTGGCCGGGGGGGGCACAACACCCGCCGGGCTCCCAGGAACCGGCACCGGCTTGTGAAACCTCCTCCTCCATCCCAGCACAGCCCCGCTGCCCTCATCTGCACAGAGCAATGGGCATTGCGGTGAAATTCTGCTCCTGTCCCGGGGCTGCGCCGGCAGCGCTCGCTCCTGCACACGGTGCCCCATCCTGGCTGTGTCACAGCCCCGGGGACAGCCCAGGGACAGCCCAGGGACAGCCCCAGGGACAGCCCAACAACCTCGGCCAAGGGCTGACAGCCCCATCCAGCCCCATCCACCCCATCCATCCCATCCCATCCATCCCATCCCATCCATCCCATCCCATCCATCCCATCCCATCCATCCCATCCCATCCATCCCATCCCATCCCATCCCATCCCATCCCATCCCACCCCATCCCATCCCATCCCATCCCATCCCATCCCATCCATCCCATCCATCCCATCCCATCCCATCCCATCCCAATCCCATCCATCCCATCCATCCCATCCATCCCATCCAGCCCCGCTGTCCCCCAGCACGGAGGGGCTCTCTGAGCTCCCTTATCACCACCAATGCCTTCATCGCTGAGACTGGGGGCTGGAGCCGCTCGGATTTGTTTGATTTCTGTTGATGGTTATTAGGCAGAGGAAGTGCCAGAAGGGATTTTGACCTCGAGTTTAAACCTGCTCCAATTAGAGCCACTGAGCCTTTAATTACCGCGCTCCGGACACTTTGGTTAAAGCAGCAACAAAAACAAACACAGAATCTGGTCGAAGACGGGCTTTTCTTCCCATGGCTCCTCTGAGCTGCCACCTACTTCGTCCCTGTGCTGTGTGACTGTGGCACGGGGCATTGTGGCCCACCAAGCCCCTCATGCTGCCTGCAGAGCCGAGGTGACACCGCTCCAGGTGACCTCCACGGGCAGGGGACACCCAGCCTCAGCCACTGCCCCTCGCACCCCAAGGATGCTCCAGGGGTGATCCCCTCGTGCCCAGGTGGCTCCAGGGCAAAACACCCCAGGTTACAGCTCAGGGCCCGCTAGAGCTCACTGAGGGGTGATGGATATTTTGGAAACACTGATTTCTTTCTTGGCAGAGCTTCTATTAAGAGGAGTTTTTTTAAAAGCAAGTCCAGAGTGCTCTTGTTCTTCTCTCCACTTGGCCCTGGGACATGGACCATGTTTCATCCCCTGGCACCGTGTTCCTGATGCTCCAGAGCCTGGCACAGATCCCTGCCTTTTGCTTTATTGTTATAGTCATTGATATGAGGCTTTATTAACATCTTTCAAGCTTAGCAAAATAGAGTTTGTGTCCGTGTAAGTCCTATGACTTAAAATTACTTTCTAGGATGCATCTTGTGATTGATTTTTTACTTTAAATAGTGACTTAATCCTTGTGCTCCGATAATTTCTTTCCCTGCCTGGCTTTTGTCCATTTTACCCAAAAATCTCAGAGAAAAAAAAAAAAAGCCAAGGGGAAATTCTCCTTGTAAGCAGCACCCAGGCCTGAGCAGAAGTGGGATGGGGTGACAGTGGGAGCAGTGAATGGATTTGGGTATTCCCAGGACCTGGGGGAACACAACGACCCCCCCAGTACCATATGTGAAGTGTTTTATGTGATGGGTTACAGATACCAGCACTAAAACAGACCTTGTAAATGTTCCATGTTCAAGGAGGCTTTAAATACATTCCTTAATCCAGCTGCCACCACGTTTGGAGTATTGTGTGTCTTTTCAAACACTTTGGTTTCTTCTTCACTCCCATGGAAGCTGCTCCCAGCCTAGCCCAGCCTGGCCTTGGGCACTGCCAGGGATCCAGGGGCAGCCCCAGCTGCTCTGGGCACCCTGTGCCAGGGCCTGCCCACCCTGCCAGGGAACAATTCCTGCCCAAAATCCCATCCAGCCCTGTCCTCTGGCACTGGGAGCCATTCCAAGGGTACCCTGTCACTCCGTGCCCATGGCAGTGGTCCTGGGGAGTGTGAGCTCTCTTCCCAGCAGGGCACAGCAGCTCTGCAGAGCACCCAGAGCCTCCATCCCCTGCCTGGCTGGCAAGGAGGGCCAGAGGTGTTTATTTGGTCACTGCAGGTGACCACAGCCCTGCCACTGACGTGGTGTGAAGTGGCTGAGCTGTCACAGCCCCAAAACAAGTATTGGAGCCTGGTGTGAACCCACAGCTAACGCAGCCACCGTCACCCACCCGTCCCTCCCCGCGCCTCCCGAGCCTCTGTGTGCAGGAACATGGAGCTGGAGGTGTCTGCAGCTTCGGGCCACTGCAGCATTTGGAATGCCAAATATTCCAGTTCTCTGGATATTCAAGCCCAAATAAGGCCCAGTTGCCAGGAGAGCAAACACAAGGCTGATCGACCAAGTTTGGGCAAATGTGATTCAGAGTTCCCCAATGCTGCAGATTTTGCCTTGTAGGATAAAATTCCTAATTGTGTTCACTTATTCCTGTTTAAAGAAGAATCTGTGGAACCTCTATCCATCTCTGTCAGCCCCAACTGCCTGTTTGTGGGGACTGGACATTTGAGAAGTTCAGATGTGAACCAAAACCAGTCTCATGGATCAGGTTAAGTCATGAAACTACCAAAAAATCCAACAAATCCCCCAAAATGGAATCACCATTTTCTGACAAGCTTGATTACAAAAAAGATGGACACTTTGGAGATTTGTGTTACTCCTTCCATGGAAAGTGATGGAATGCCTCTGGATAATCCAGGTTTGTCATCGGTAACCAGGTGCAGCAACACATGAAAAGTCAAACAAACATTGTCCCACAGCAACAATCGCTACAGAAGTGACATTTATTGACGTTCTGCTGTATTTACAGGTTGAACATAGTAAAACTCCAAAGTGAATGACCACTTGGCAGAAAGCACAGGAGTGCACATTAAATCTACATTTCCAATGCATCAGAGTCTCTGCTAACACAAATTATAAAAGCAAGAATTACAGGTATGTTAGGAATTGTCTCAAAAGTCCCAAGCCAAAGAAAAAAGAAAGGCCTTTGTTTTGCAAGATGGTTTTTATACAAAGTTGCAACATGATCTTTCAGTTTTACACTACAGACTCGTTCTGTGAAAACCCCTGGAGAGCCCAAACAGTTGGTGGTGCGAAAGGAAAGGATACTACAACACTGAGAATAAAGACTGTTAAAAGTTAATACTTGTGCCACCTCTAAATTCCCAATGCCACCTCCAAGTCTGGACTGCAGCAAGCCCTGTTCCTCCACAGGCCCCCAGTGCTGGGATTGCAGGAGCACAGCCACCCTGCACTGCCACCTCAGCTCCAGAGCCACCCCTGACAGGACACGGGGGACAGGGACACACAGGGATGAACAGGGATGGACAGAGGGGACAGGGACACACAGGGATGGACACAGGGAACAGGGATGGATGGACACAGGGGACAGGGACACACAGGGATGGACAGGGAGGGACACAGGGGACAGGGATGGACAGGAGAGGACACAGAGCACATGGAGATACATGGGCTGTACAGGACACAGAGCACACACAGACTGTCCAGGACAGGGTGACACTGCACAGGACACAGTGTCACACCCTGCACAGGACAGTGTCACACCCTGCACAGGACAGGACAGTGTCACACAGCACAGGACAGTGTCACCCTGCACAGGACAGTGTCACACAGCACAGGACAGTGTCACACAGCACAGGACAGTGTCACACCCTGCACAGGACAGTGTCACCCTGCACAGGACAGTGTCACACACAGCACAGGCACAGCCGGGGCAGCTCCCAGGCTGGAGGAGGAACTAAAGCAAGCCTGGCCCCTGCTGGCCCTGGTTTGGCTACCGCTGCCCAAGCACCACAAACTCGGGCTGAACGCCTTCATCAGCACGCCACAGACTCACTGCAAGAGCTGCTTCAAACATTAGCCACTAATGAGTCAACAATTACAGAATTCTGCGTTAATTATTAAAATTTTACACCTAAAAACAAATAGAAAGAAATGCTTCTCCTTTTTTTTTTTTCTTTTTCCAACAGTACTTTTATTTATTTATTTTAAAGCAGGTGATTATTTTTTCTTCTGCTCCAGAGCCTTGATTCACTTCCTGCAGGTGTCCTGCTGCTTCTTGGGGGGGATTTCACTAATGCAGGAAGACATTTGCCAGAAAACATCTGTTGGAGAAGGATATTGAACACCGAAACTGCAGTCAGAGGGTTATTTTGGATAACAGGAGGATGTCGTTCACACAGCACAGGATGTCTGAGGGCTTATGAAGTGTCTGAGCACACAATGATGTGACTCCAGCAAAGTGCTCAGCAATCTGTGTGTATTTTACAGGATCACACCAGGATTGTGTCTGCACACACAGCTGGAATAGTAAACTCCAGCTTTCCACAGGATTCATTTCACCAGGCTGTATTTTCTGGTTTGCACTCATTAGTCCCCTCCTAATTTTCTAAAAACTATCCTCGCTCTATAATAAAAATAACCCCTCATTGTGCCCTTTGCATCACGCCCTCAAGAGGAAATCTCATCTAAGAACTATAATACACTAAAAATCTGAGTTTTTTGTGGTTTCCTCACTCAGAATTCAGGATTAAAGATTTATTTTCAGAGGAAGTATTGAAGTTGCAATGTTTATGAATTATTCTAGACATTTATCTCAGCATATCTGAAAGAAAAAGTGCTTTTTGAAAATGCTCTGAAATGACACATAAGTAGGAATTCAAACACTCTACACCTCCACAAGCAAGGAGTGAAGCCAGGTCTCTAAAACTGTAATTTCAAATTTCAAACATAGGAAAAGTCTGTGCAAAAAGAAACCACAGAGTTCCTTTAGGAAATAAAAAAATGAAGTCTTGGTAAAAGGGCAAAATTTTAAAAAAATTGTTCAGTCAGAGAAAATACAGAGATAAAGCTGACTTTAAATGCTCACATTCTGTAACCAGAAACTGGGGGAAATCAACCCTCTGGTGACTCAGCAGGAATCTGAGAGGATATTACAGATCCTGGAGGATGTCACAAACCAGAACTTTGTTAAACAGAACTGAAACACGTAAAGAAATTGGCTGAACTATTTTTACACACTATCACCAGAGGAAAACACTGCACAAAGGCTGTTCTGTGCTGCAGGTTCTCCTCACAGACTGGAAATGAAGTAGAATCGTGGGCAATTTGCAGTTTCTAATAAAAGGGAAGCGCATTTGGAAACCCAAGGCTCGGTTTTCAAATCTCAACAATTTAATGACCCCCAATTTAAAGCTGGGGTTGGTTTGGTTTCTTTGACTGTCCCAGCTGCAATTGCCTCTGTCTGGGGAAATGGAGTGTTATTATGATATTTCTAAAGGGAGAATCATGTTGCATTCCCCAGCTGGGAAGCAACCTATTCCAGGATTTCCTTCCCCTCGGGGAGGGACAGTTAATGCCAGGCCATTATCTGCTGTGAGCAGGAAATTATGCTACAAGCCTTCAGCTACTTAAGCCTCCTCCTTTAAAGTCCCATTAGAGCAGCCAGGCTGAGGCTCAGCACTGAAGCAAAAGACTCCCAGGCACTCAGGTTTTTGCAAGATTTTCAGCTCAGGTGTGTGGAAGAGGTCTGAGGAGAGCAAAGGTGTGCAAGGGTGTCACTTCTTCAGGAACCTGGCAGCAATTTCAAACAGCAGAATTCAGACAAATTGCTTGTTCTGGGACACAAGCCAAAGGCACTGCCCCTCTAACAGCATTTTGCGACCTCTCCTCGGGTTTGGGACACACCACGTGTTTCAGGCATGTGATTTATTCTCAAAGACACATTTGCCCAATACACTGCAGTGCCGAGGGGCACAGGTTTTGTTCTCTCAGTATCTAGGCACGGAATCAAAAGAATATCCAATTCCTCACAGCATAAACTCAGGGAGAAATGTCCAGTGTTCCTCTGCCTCCCATCAGGTCAGTCTGGGCTCTGCAGACTCAGGGGTTGGGTAGGGGATACCAAGAAACAACTGCTCCCTGCTTCCCTGAGTTCTAAAAATATTCAAGCAATGGAAAGTGTAGCATAGAAAAGTCACTAAATAGAGTTAAAATCAAAGCAGAACAAATTCAGGAAAGCAGAAAATTTACCTTTAGTAAATAAAGAGAACTCTGGTTCTGGGGAGAGTGGAAAACGTATCTGGCATCTTCCTAACCTTTGCATAATTAATAAATCCTCTGAGAAACAGCAGAAAACCTGCAGGGGAGAGACACATTTGTCCAGTTAACATAGGTGTTGCTTCTTCAAGGAGAGGGAGCAGCTGAACTCCTGCCACCACTACAGAAGGACCTTGTCACTGCACGGATCCACAGCAGCTGATCACACACAGTAATTATTTCTGGTAGCAATAACACCTCATCTTTCCACTTCAGGTAACTTCAAAAACAAACTTTGCTTGGGCAATCATAAAACTTTTGACTCCAAACAAGATCCTGTCACTCCCAAAGAAGGAAAAAGAAAATAAAATGAGGAAGGCAACAATCCACTCTTCCATTTAGGATGCAAGAGCAGACACAACATCAGTTGCAAGCATTATTCTCTTCTTGACTTCTGGATGCTGCCACCAAGAACTGGCAACAGAAAGACAGTGTTTACATGTGCCTTTAAACCCTGAGTGTGCTCAGTCAGAGGAGCATGAGGGTCACATTTCATCTTTACATCTATACACACATATTTAACAGGCAGGAATGTTCACAAAATTCTGACTTTACAGAGCTTTTAAGCATCTTTGCCCCCCCACCAGACACTCACCTAGTACAAGGAAGACCCACCAAAGCCAGTACTGGCCATCGAAGTAGCCAGGAAAATAGGTGGAGAACTGAAAAACAGCAAAAAAATACAGCTTAGAGCACAAGGAAGTTTGTGAACCAAAATCTATCCCCAGCAATTTTAGCAGTAACCAGATCAGGGCTGCACACAAGAGATCTCATGGAATGCTGAATTTCACCAGCTGCAGGAATGAGTTTCCTCCACAAACTGTCACTGACAGTTTTTCTGCACCAGCTCTAACAAGGGGAATGGGACAGACTCAACACCCAGCTATCAACTCTGGCAATCAGTGGGGCACAAGGACACTCCTGGCAAATATTCCTGGTTTAAATTGTGTCCTGGATGCTTACAAAGCACAGCTGCAGTTTCTGAAAGGGCAGAGCAGGCTTGCAGCACATTCATTACACATTCAGGTTGGATGGTGTAACAGTTGGGAAAGAAATCCCACATCTGTGGAACCCATTGACAAGATTCCCAATTGGGAAAATTACTGCTATTAAATGAAGGGTACCAACACTGTGAGAGCACTGAAGTTCACAGTTTCAGTATAAATACAGTATCATTCCTCTGGGTTTGTTCTACTCAAGTTTAAAACCTAATAAAAGATAAACCTATTACTGTAAATCAAACCCAGAAATAATGTCACCTCTTTTTGCCACCTCTCTTAATCCAGCAAAGAGTTCTTAATACCTCCGTACCAAGATGACCAAAAAACTGTCAACAGAAAAGTGAAGAGATGCTGCATTTACAAATTGGAATTCCCAGCCCCAAAAGACAGGGTAGGAAGTGACAGTTCTGACATTAATGCTCTCTACTTCTACTCACAGCCAATGAGCTGCTTTGCTTGAAATTCATCTTTCAGCCAGAAATGTCTGTGCACCATCATTTCACAGGCTCCAAATAAAGATTTCCTGATGGAAATATTTTCTCCCAATCCCTCCAAAAAATATAAGAGCCAAAAAACTTAGAGCAGGATGACAACTTGCTCCGGGTCCCTGCTCCTGTGCCGCAGGGAGGCTGCACCAGAGGGCACCCACGGCCTTCTCCCACTGCTGCTCCAGCCCTTGCTCCTCCCCACGTCCCTGTTTCCCTCTCCTCACCAGCTATCCTGCGTTTTAGAGAATTTCCTTATTTCCAGAGGAGAGCCAAAGGCACAGCAGGCTGCAGAGCCGAAGTAGGGCTGGCTTTGCCTGGGTTAATGTTTTCCCAGGATTTTCCATTGCTGCTGCTCAGCACAAATCCACACTCTGATCCAGGCCACACTGTCAGACACATTCAGAATGAATCCCAGAATCCCAGACTGGGTCGGGTTGGAAAGGATCCTACAGCTTCTCTCTTTTGGCACAGACAGTGACACCTTCCACTATCCCAGGAATCCCTGTCCTTAGACTTAGACTTGGACAGTTCCAGGGATGGAGCATCACCAAAGATATCTGGGTGTACAATCTTTCCTTTCTTTTACTACAATTGTAATTCCAGTATATAAACAGGATGTAATTATGAAAAAGCTCTTTTCTTAGTGAATAAGTAGCTAAAAAAATATTTCATTATTTAAAAAAAAAAAACCTAGATTCATCACTAACTTCAGTATGACATAAAAACCTGCTAGGGAAAAAGAGTATCAGTGTCTGTGGATGTGCTTTTGCACCACACAACTCACCCTGACAATAAGGATCCACTTAATAAGAGACAGACCAAATCCAGAAATGGCCCCATATCGTCCTGCAGCTGAAGTAGTCAGACAGAAAGACAGGAAAAATCCAATCCAGTTGAAGAGGAATGCCACTGAAAAACAGGAGAAAAGCAGCAGGTGGAGACACCTTTACATTCCAAGGAAAAAAACCACAAACCCCTTGGCACACAGGTTTTTCCTGGTGCTACATAAACATAAATGGGACACAAAGTATTTTGTGTGACTGCCTGGAAAAAAAGTTCATTCCATCAGGTACTTACTGAAGAAAGTCAACATGAAGATGCCATCGTTTCCTATCCTCAGCTGGTCAGTGTCATCAAAGTCATCCCGTGTCACAAAGTCATCATCCTGCAAAGCACAGGGAGGCAGCACATGGGGGACTGAGGTCAGCCCAAGCCATACAGCAACCCCGCTTCATGGTGTGACTCTTTAAAAAAAGGGCTGGAATCCTAAATCTCAAAAGGCTACAAATGCAAGCACGAGAAAATTCCCATTTCTCATCCTGAAATGGTGCAGGGCATGGAATGTTATCTATAGAATAGGAAATGTATCTTTATTTTTAACATAGTCAAGCATGTTCTTGTTCTCACTGTGAAGAATTCTTCAACTCATCAAAAAATTATCATCTCAGCAAGGAATTTCACTTCCGTGAAGAAATGTAATGAGCAGTGGACTTCTAATGCTAGCAGGGGTAGAGGGAATGGCTGAACAAGAGACAATGTTGAAAAGACAAAAAGAAATAATTCTGACAGAATGGTTTTATCGTGCTTGTATCAGCTACACTGACCTCCAAAAAAGCCAACTAAGTAAGCAGCAGGAGCATCAAGGGTAGATATGCCAGACAGCTGAAGAATTAATCCTAAATCTTTTTGAAAAATGAAAAAAAAAACCCAACAAACACCCCAGTGTCAGAGCACAGGGATACAGTACAGCCCCTCTGTCAGCTTGCCAAGCTAATCTGGCTAGCACATGCTGGCATTGCTGAGATGTCTGACATCATCACAGTGCTCAGAGGAAAATTAAAAAGAAAAAAGCCACAGGACTCTCAGGAGTGTGGAACATCACCACTCCAGAAAGCTTCAAAAACACAAAAAGCCCAACACAGACTTTAAAAGTCAAGGGAGATGATGGGCAGGAGTTAAAGCTGAAATTGGACCCAGCAGTGCAGGGACAGCCAGGGACACTCACCCTGCCAGGCACCAAGGGAATGGTGGCCTCAGCCTTGGTCCTCTCGGCCTCGTCGTAGCTGGGCAGAGTGGTGGCCACATTGTAGGACGGCGGCTTTGGGAACCCTGACTCATCCTTGTAGTCAAAATAAGCTGCACAAAAACAGTTACACAGGAGGGAACTCAGCACTTGCTTAAGAACACCGTGCTGGGAACGAGCAGTGCTCCAGGTGACCTCCAATGAGCCCCATTCCCCACCCTTCCATCCATCCCAGCCATCCCAAAGTGGAAAGTGAAAAGCACAGGAGCACCTTCTCTGATAGCCAGCAACCCACAGAACACTCCCAGAACATGTCTGGCTGCACTTCTGCTTAAAACAACACCACATGCTGTGCCTCTGCTGACTTGGATACTCACACACAGTCACGTTTCCAGATCCAAGTGGTTATTAAAGTTATTAGTGACAGGAGAGAAGGATGATTCAAAGTCCCATCCTTATGACCAAGTGCTTAGGAAGTACTTTTTGGAAAGTACAGGAAAAGTGAATTCTTTAAACCCTTTTAAGTAACCAATCCTTTAAGGAAGGGGCACATCATCATCCAAATGCCAGATAATGAGAGGGGAACCACAAACCCTCACAGCACTTTGATTTTGAACTGTCTTCAATTTACTGAGAACACTGCGAACTGTAACTTGAACACCCCTAGATGGGATGACATCAGATGAACGCAGCCAAATTGCATCTCCTAAACCACAAGTACCAACAGGCTGTGTGGATCAATCCTGATCCCCGCAGCTTGGGAAGGTGCTGCAGTGCCAGCCGTGGATGAGGAGAGCAGTCAGTGGCAGCAGACAAGCCCAGCCCTCTGCCCGGTGTGAGTACCTGTGTTCTCTGCAGAAATGCTGCTGTAGGGCGGAGGGGCATCGCTCACCACCGGCACGGCCTCGCCCGGCTCCTCTTCGTTCTGCAGCTGAACAGAACCACACACCAGGGTTAGGGGGGGTTCTCAGAGCTCTGACATCACCCCTACAGCTTTAATTGCACACAACAGACTCTTCTGGAAGGAGACTGCTCTGCAGCACCACGGGACACAGAGCAGCTGCTCAGCCTCCCTCTGAAGCATTCCCACTTGAAATGATCAATCTTCCATCTCAGTTTTAATGTTGTTTTTAAATCCTCTCCTCACACACCTGGACTCCAGCGAAACACAGCACACAGCTCCCCAGTCCCTTTCCATTTCCCTGGCACTTCCTCATCTCACATTGCTTAGGAGCTGCAGTCGCATCTGTTTTAGTCCAAGCAATGCTGTGAGATACCCAACAAAAGGCTCCATTGCTGCCTGTGCCTTTCCTAAGGAAGGTTTTTTCCATGGATACATTACATAATGATGCACAGAAGTATAAATGTTGCCATTTCCCTTCAACCTTTCACACTGCATGACTGAAAAGGAGCCGGTTTATTTTGTGCACTGTGCTTCCCACAGGCTCTGTATAAATAACCAGGAGCTATCACAGATCCAGCACCACTCACACGAGGCAGGTGTGCCATGGCAGCTTTGATCAGGGAGGCAGCAGGACCAGGCCAGAAAGGAGGTTAAAGCTGCCATCTCATGTTTCCCTTCCTTCCATTTTCCACCATGTCAGCAGCAAAAGCTCCAAGGTGTTCTGCAGAACAGCTCACCTCAAAGAAGCACCTTGGGACCAAAGCACTGGGCTGAGCTGGAGGCACTGCTCTCCTTTGAAATCACCACTAAACAATGTCTCCTCCAGCCTTCCCTCCTGCAATCACACACAGCTGCTCCTGAAGCCATCCAGGATATTTCGCTTTTTTCCCTCTGGAGAGACACGTTGCCATTCTCCTTGAGCATTTAACACAGGGGGTGTAGGGCGTAGGGGGATGTTCTTATTTGTACATCTTATCGGGGGAAAATAAATCAGCTCACACTTCTAAATGCAGATCTGGGCTATCCAAGTGTTCTGTGGAGTTTTACTCCTTTTGCTGCTTAACATCAAAGATTACAGAATGGTTTAGGCTGGAAGGGACCTTAAAGCCCATCCCATTCCAGCCCCTGCCATAGGCAGGGACACCTTCCCCTGTCCCAGATTGCTCCAAGCCCTGTCCAGCCTGGCCTTGGGCACTGCCAGGGATCCAGGGGCAGCCCCAGCTGCTCTGTGCCAGTGAAAGTCTATAATCTATAGTCTGTTCCACATCACACTATATCCACATCCTCTGAGAAAGTCTTAACTGGGCTTAGCAGATGACAGTGAGTGGTTCTGCTGGCAGGTCCAATGGGTCAGCTGAGAGGGGGAAAAGGAAGGAAACAACACTGGGAAGCACCAGAACAAAATCAGGAGCACTGTCTGCCAGTCCAGGTGCGGTGAAACAGCAGAGCACCACAGTCCTGCACTCCAGTTCCACGGCAGCTGAAGCCCACTCTGCTCCCCAGGAACATTTTCTAAACAGAATAGGTGGGGGAAAAAAGAAAAGCGTGCTGGTCAGCCCCAAGCTTTGTGGCTCAGAAGTCCTCACATGACAACACTGAGCCATTTCCTTGAAGAAGGAGAAATCAGTGATCCGGATGAAAATTTAATCCGTGTTCTGGCAGGAGCAGCTCCCAGCCCAGCTGTCAGCAGCACACATCCCCAGAGCCGCTCCCTGGCCAGATGTGAAGCAGAGCAAACAATGCTGGGGTGTGAGGCCCCAGGGGTGGAGGTGGCAGGACCTGCCCCACCTGCAGCTTTACGGAGCCCCAGGGCATTGGGCAGGGACAGGAGGAGCTGCAGCAGCTCCCACCACAGCAAGGCACCTTCGTCTTCTCAAAGCCTTTCCAAGAAACAAAAATGCCTCATTTTATAAACCCCATGGAGCTCGGCATTAGAAGTGAAAACTAACTTGAGAAGTAATTGCCTATTAGAACATGCTTTAATTTTGTTTTAGAAAAACAGCATTACTCCAGAAATCCCAAACCATGCTGCACAGAGCATGAGGCACAATGGAAGGGACAGGAAAACACAGAACCAAATTGCTTGAGTCAATCTCTGCCCAGAGAAGCTGCCCCTGGATCCCTGGACATGGCAGGGGTAGAAAAAGATGATCTTTAAGGTCATAACCCAAAGCATTCTGTGATTCCATGATTCCCACGGCTTTGTAGTTTATGAATTCTCAGAAAATGCTCCACCATGCGTATTGTCAGTCTATCCATGAAAATTCAGTACTTCTTTTCTCCCTCTGCCTGTGCAGGACCTGGTCTATTAACAGGAGGAAAGGCTCTGTCACAGCTGGGACACTCTGGATTCCACCTGCCTTTTGTTACCTGCCCTCCAGGTGAGGGGGAGGCAGAAATTCAACCCCTCATGCCTGTAAGAAAGAAGGCAGGTAGAGCCTGAGAGCACAGTCACCAGGAAGGGGGGAGGAAAGAATCACATGTGACAACACTGCAAGAAATGAAACAAAAGAGGACACAGATATTGAGTGGAATATTAACTCCTACCACTGGTTCTTCTTTCAATAGTAAAAAGGAATACATGTTCTTCCACTAATGTCATGTGGGAGAAAGCAGCTGAATTCACTGCTGCCTTCAAACATCCCAATTCAGGTAATGGATAATGACACAAAAAATGCAGCTACTTTCTGAAGTTGAGCTCGAGGCTGTAGGAGGTTACAGTTATAGAAAACATATTTTTCTTCTAATGGACAAGGTACACAAATGCCTTCCAGCCTTTTTAATGATTCTAGGCATCTAAAATTCAACTAAGTGCCTATTAGCAGAGCAGGGAGGTTCATGTGACAGGAAGAATGATTCATCAGGCCTCGCAGGGCCACACTGCTGCCCTGGCCCAGCCTGGCTCCCACCTGCCCTGCACAGCTCCAGGTATGGACTCGGCTCCCAGAGAATTCCCCCGAGGCTTCAGCACCCAGGGAACCTGGTTAAAAGCAGCATCTGACTTCAGTCTGTTCTGCTGAGGCTGTGGGATAATTCTTTCCTAGATTCACTGATGGATTTTAGCTTTTCAGGCAACGTTCTGCTATTTGTGAAATTAAAAACTAAGGCAGTCTTTACAGCCATGCATGCAGTTATTAAAACAACAGTTTGGCTGGGATTTTTTCACCAGACTGCTAAACCAACAGAAAGTTGACTGATAGAACACCCAGGGATATTTATTTTCAAAAAAAACCCCAGCATCAGAAGCCTGGCACTGAGCTGACATCACCTCCGGTTGCCACTTGCCCTGACCAAGACCTGTCCCATGAAAATACACAGTACAGCAGCATAAAAGCTGAAATCTTCCAAGCTGTTTGGAAATATTTCCATGCAAACTTTGAAGAAAGCACTTCCAATAAATATATTGGTTAATTCTTCCAAATTTCCTAAACTCAGCATATGGGCTGCTGACATAGTTTTGAATCTTAATTTTTTAACTCCCCTTTGCCAAGTTCTGAGAATGCATGTAAATATTCTTTACACTAAATCAGCATTACTACACTAAATCAGCATTATTACAGGCTTGGCCTTAGCAATAGATCACATATCATTACATATCTTCAGCCTTTTGGAAGTAAATTAAAGTCACTGCCAACTCTGAAAAGGAGAGTTATTTTTACTGACTTTTGCTTTACTTAATTAAACACACCCTGATTTAAAACCCTGACTTTTGCCCGAAGTTGCTGCAAATTCCTGTAACTTAACATCACCTTATTAATCAGCAGGAATAATGATAAGCTACCAGACAAGCCAACCCACACCCTTCAGCCCTCTCCCTGACAAGCAAATAAGTGTTTTCTCCCGTAGGCTCTTCCAGCCCATTTCCCTCGAGCAGTGACAGCCCCGAGTGCCTCCTGCACTGGCACAGGTGTGTTGAGCACCTCTCAGGTGACACATTTGGCACCTGTGCTGAGCCAGCCCTCCCTGGGGAGATGCTCCTGGCCGAGCCTCGTGCTGGGGAGCCAGCCCTGAGCACAGCCCAGCCCTGGGAGGGAGAGCCCTGCATGTGCCAGCCCCAGAATTCCTCCATGGAAATGGGGCTCGGGCACTGGAACTGCCCAGGGAGGTTTGGAATGCCCATTCCTGGAGGTGCCCAAGGAATTCCTGGAGGTGGCACTCGGTGCTCTGGGCTGGGGACAGGGTGGGGATGGGGCACAGCCTGGACTCGATGGGCTGGGACGGCTTTTCCAACCTGAGTGACTTTGAGATTCTGAGAAACTCCTCCCTTTTAATAAAGGACTGAAAACTGTGCCTCCACTCACAAAGCCAACCTGTTCTTCCCCAGCTGGAGCAGCTCCCTGGCACCCAGTGAGCACCAACAGGAACCAGCAGCTGCATCCAGCTGATGGCAACAACCCCGTGAGCCACCAAAAGGAAAAACCACAAATCAAAACCTATTTTAGGTCCATAAAATACAACCTGTGCTCCTGAGGGTGTTGTCCTCTGACTCACTGCAGCCAAGGGCCTGACACCACAGAGATGTCCTGGGAAACAAGCTGGTCTAATCCCCCCGTTTCTGTTCAAACAGGGAGTTAGGCTGGGCTGGACACACTGGAAACAAGAACTTGGGCCAGCACAAACCTGTGCCCACACACTGGCCTTAGTCCTGAGAGATCAAGGTCTTAATATGGAAAAAGTAGATTTTAATCTTGGATAGCTGTAAATAAATTTCCCACACTTAAAGCATAAGGCCTTCTCATAATATTTAGAATCAGATTAATATTTTTCTGGACTTTAGGCCATCACAGTAAGACTTCTGAACATTATAAAATAGCACATTTCTTAAATGTCCATATGAAGAAGGTTAAGTATCTTCAATGGAAAAAAATTCCCATTGTGCCATCATAGATCAAATGTGGATATTTCACAACAGGCAGGAACAGAATGATTGGATACCACTCATTACTGAATTTTGCTCACTCGTCCCAATGACAAAGGATCAGAATTCACACAAACACAACTTTTGCTCCTTGCTTTCTGTATGGTTACTATGCCAAACCCACAGAAAAAGGTTCCTCATCTCCTGGGAGCATTTAACAATCCAAAGCCCCCAGGGATTGTTCCTATAGCTGCTTCCCAATGGGGTTACTGAGCCCCACTGAATTTCAGTGATGAGAGAAAAGTTACTAAAAAAGCCCAGCTCAAGAGTTCAACACCATCCTGATGCCTGAGATAATATTGTATTTAACTTTGCATGCAAAACTATTTTCTCCTGCTACACAAGCTGTGAGATGACACTGCTGCTGTTTCCCTGCCTTTCCCACATCCTCTGAGTTTTAGGGACAGAATATATTTAAATTCTACAATAACTTTTCCACACAGAATCACTAAACCCTTGCAAACTTACCTGACAGATACTGTTGCCTACAGAGGTGGATGTTTCAGAGGAAAATAACCAGATTTTAGTCACCTGAGCACAACCAAGGCTGAACATGGGGCAACTTCAGCACAACCTCAGAGCAGAGGCTGCACAAACAATTTTACTCTGCAATTTTTCTAATTATACAGGGTTTATGTCAATGGCATCTCCTATTCTCCTTACAAATAAAATATATAAATAAATATGCAAACAACCTACCCTGCAACTTTTCTTACCATTCTTATCTTTAGCCAGCACATCTTGCACACTGCAAGGACCTCACTGAGGAAACATTCACTGACATTTCTGATTCTAATTGCTGACAGGAAAATATTTGGGATGTTCTCGTTTTTTAGTTTCAAGCTGTGTGCCCATTCCAGCTGAAAAATTAAACACAAGGTACACACAAGGCAGCAACTGATATCTGCCTCCCTGTTCCCTTCCAGCCTCCCCAGATATTAAAGAAGCATTGTGCTTCTTCATGGATTTAAATTCTATTCCCATTCTATCTCCAGCACTGCATTTCTTCTACAGTTTTCACAGAACAAAAAACAAACAAATGGAAAAATCTTTCTTCCTTATTTTTCCCATTGACACCTCCCTTTGTGGAATGATTCATGATCCATGTAAACCTTCAACAAGTGGAACAGGAAGACACAGCACTTAAAAAGGAATACGTCCTCATTATTTAACACTCCCACCATTTCCTAGGTGGGTTTACATTACTCATACACCTCACATATATTTTCGAATGCTCCAAGTGCAAAGCATGCCTGGAAAACACAGAGTGTAAATAAACCTGTTAAAGCTGGGCTATTTTTTCCAGAATGGAGGGTCATTTCTATTCCAAGGATGAAATACAGTTCTGCCAACTGAACCCTCAATCCAGGGTTATGCTGGAAAGGCTTTAAACCCCCTAATCCAAACAACATCCCTGTCTAACTTTCCCAAAGGCAGAATGAAATGACAGCAGCCTCTCAGTGGCCCTTTTTGGGGACACAGCAGTGCCTGGAATAACAGCACCAGGGCGGGCTGCAGCTCTCCTTCTCCCCAAACCTCTCCATTGCCACCTCCACAAGCGCAGCTCCAGCACGTGGCCTGCAGAGGAGGATCCAGATCCAGAGTCTGACCCTGTCCCAGCCCTGCTCCCCATGGAAGGGGTCAGGGAGGCTGAAATCCCTTCTCCAGAGTTTTAGTTTTATTTTACATGGAGCTGCACTTCCTCAGCACTGAGCTGAGATTCACATCACCCAAAGCCATCACTGCAGGCCACTTTTTAGCAGATGATCTAATGCCTGAACAAAGCCAGGGCTAGGAAGTTGGCTTTGGAAAATCAATCAGTGCACACCCCTTGCACACTGCCCACGATGTGAACGGACATGGGCTGGGAGTCTGCAGGGAAGAAAGAGGCTGCTGATGGAACCCAGGCCACATTCCCACCTTCCCACATCCCACCTGCAAGGCTGAGGAAGGGGTGGGAGAGGAAACACACAGGACTCAAACTCGGGTATCGAGTTCTGTTGTGCTCGGTTCATGGTCACTAACTCTCACCTTTTTTTTCCTGAAAATGCAGGCACTTGAGGAATCCTACGAATATTGTACAGGTCCATAGTGCCCACTCCTCAGTGCTGCTTCCACACACACATGGATACATGGATACCCATACCAGAGTGAGAGTTATACATCCCTGGCACACTTGGACAGTCAAAATCACATCTACCAGTACAGGAACCACTTACCTACATAACCAACTCCATTAATGCATTACTGCATCACCCAAAAAGATCAAGCTTTAAAAATTCCTCCACTGACTTATAATCCAAAAATTTAAAGTATGAAATGAGCTGCTTGTGAATTTCTCCAGCTACCTCCACTGGGTCCTGTAGTCACCTGTAGCCCTTGCAATTATTGCTTCACTATCAGTCTGTCTTCTTCGGCATATGGTACATTCATTATTGTACATTTCACACACACAGTAAGTTTCAAAATATGGGGAAAAACCAGACACTTTCAATGCTACAGAGACTCTCCCATTCTCTCATCTTCTCTTTATCTAAATCCCAACTGCATCTCCACAGATTGCAGGGTTTTTGAAGCAACACAAGTATTAGGGGCCAGTTCAGTGATAACACACTTCACAACAGGAATACCTGGGTTCTGGCAGAGGGCGAAGGAAGAGAAGCAATTTCTAAACAGCTGCACAAAAGTAAATACTTTTACATGTGAGAATCTGCCTCTCACTCCAGTTAAACCAGTGGCTCCACAGGCCTCCATTATGTGCTTGTCTTTAGCAGTGCAAATCCTCTGGCACAGCCCTGGCTCCCTAATCTCCGCAGGGCTCCACAGATGAGTCTGCCCTGGGTCTGCCCGAGGTGTGAGCAGAAACAACACTGAGCTGGCAAACAACAGCTTTACACACCCCTCTCACAGGAAAGCAGGAGTGTGTCCATCAGCCAGGTAACACCAGGCAATGGACTCCTTCAGCGATTCTGTCCCTCATCCCCACGGCTCCGGGCAATGGGACACGCTGCAGATCCCTTGGGAAAAGGTATTTGTAAAGACACTTGTTGGGGTCAACACCAGCAGCAGGACTCTGCCAGAAAAGGCGATTAGTGCAGAGCCCTGGTTATCTGTCCCTAGCAGGTCCCAGAACAACACAAAGAGATTTGTCATTGGAAGTGAGCACATCTGTTTTGCATTGAAAAAAAAAAAAAAGAAAAAAGAAAAAAAAAGCCTAAGTTTTACTTAACTTCTACATTTCCAGTATGTAAAACCACGGAGACCTGCAGCTGTCAGATGAGACAAGTATTCCATCCCATGGGAGGGTGTATCTCGAACTCTGCCGAGCGAGAGCCTACCCACGCTGGGAATGCTACCCAGGAAAAGTCACAACACAGCGATTTCTTGGGAGAGCCTCGGTTCAGCACGAGCGAGCTGTCTGCTGTTTAGAGGGATTTCTCCATTACTCTAAGTAAAGAATTCTCCATGTCTGATGTGAGAAAGGCGCCTGCCAGAACTGGGTCACACCGGGGGCCCAGCCGACACCCGGCCCTTGCCGTGGGGCCGGTACTGCAGACAAACGGGAGGCAGGAAGAGAAGAATGACCCGAATTCCCGAGAGAGCTCTTTAAGGCCAGCCCCTGGCCTAGGAGGACTTCAGAGGAGCCCACACGTAAAAGATGGAAGAAAACTAACGGTAACCTCGGGGCGAGACCGTTCCCCGGCCCTGGGGGGAAAATGACCGGCGGGGTCAGCGCCCTGCGCCAAGGTCGCCCCGGGACTGGGTAAACACCGGCCCCGGACACACCCGGCCCCGGGACCGGGCAAACACCCGGCCCCAGGACAGAGCAAACACCGGCCCCGGGACCGGGCAAACAGCGGCCCGGGGCACAGCCGGCCCCGAGCCGGCGGGGAGCGGCTCCGCGGCCGAGCCCGGCCCGACCCCCCGGGGACCCGCGGCCTCCGCCCCGGGCGCTGCCGCCAGCACAGGCCCCGCTCCCGGCTCCCGGCCCCGCCGCCCCGGGAGCCGCCCGATCCCGGCGCCGGCACCCCTCACCTGCTGGTAGCGGCCGGTGCTGGGCTCGGCGGCCGCGGCCGCCATGGCGCTGCGGGGTCGGTGCGGGCGCTGCGGAGGCGGCGGCGGCGGCCCGGGCGCTGCTCGCTGCGGGCTCCGCTCGCTCCCGCCCTCCCCGTCACGCTCGGCCGCACCGCCTCCCGCCCCGCCCGCCGCCGGAGCCGCCGTGGGCAGCGTTCCTGGAGGGGCCGCAGAATCGCTGAACCACCCGGGCTGGAACAGACCTGCCACACCATCGAGTCCAGGCTGTGCCCGATGCCCACCTTGTCCCCAGCCCAGAGCTCTGAGTGCCACCTCCAGCCCCTCCTTGGACTCCTCCAGGGATGGGCACTCCAAACCTCTCTGGGCAGTTCCAGTGCCTGATCCCCCTTTCCATGGGGAAATTACTGCTGCTGTCCACCCTGAGCCTCCCCTGGCCCAGCCTGAGGCCGTTCCCTCTCCTCCTGTCCCTGTTCCCTGGGAGCAGAGCCCGACCCCCCCGGCTGTCCCCTCCTGCCAGGGACTTGTGCAGAGCCACAAGGGCCCCCTGAGCTCCTTTTCTCCAGGCTGAACCCCTTTCCAGCTCCCTCAGCTGCTCCAGCCCCTTTCCAGCTCCCTCAGCTGCTCCAGCCCCTTCCCAGCTCTGTTCCCTGGCTCCAGCCCCTCCATGTCTCTCCCACCGTGAGGGGCCCAGAGCTGGACACAGCACTCGAGGTGTGACCCCGGCAGTGCCAGCACAGGGGACAGGCCCTGCCCTGCTCCTGCTGCTGCCCCATTGCTGCCACAGGCCCGGTGCCACTGGCCTCGCCTCCTGCCCACAGCCGGGCTCATGTGTTATCAACCAGCACCCCCAGGTCCGTCTCTGCTGGGCTGGTTTCCAGCCAGGGCAGCTCCACTGGGGCTGGAGGGTGACCAGGACCAGCCCGGCTGTGTGAGGGGAGCCGGTGTGCCACTGCCTGCGGGAATGCCGAGAGCCAGCAGCACGGCCCTGGCACCGCCGGAGCTGCAGGAGTGACCCCACAAGCTCTGTGCACTACATATCATGTACATTGTGGAACTCAAGTATCATTTTCAGAGTAGAACTGCCACAGGATGTGTTAGTGAAACCTATGGAGTCAGGACATTGATGTAAAGCCCTACTGACAAACAATGCTGCCTCAGCAGGGACACACCAGAGCCAGCATTGAGAAACCGGCCCTGTCTGAAGCACGCTGACCAAGGCTGGGTCACACATGACCCCACTCGTCCCTGTGACACCAGGCAGACAGGGAACAGGCCAGCGACTGCTGCACCAAACACGAGGTCTTGGCCGTCAGCTCTTCCATATCCACAGCGAGCAGATGGTGTTGAGCTCCTTCCTTCCAAAAGGAGCACGTGTAGGAAACCACGCAGTGAGAGAAGTTGGTTTATTCTGAGTTCTTCAGTGTCACATTGGCCAAAAGACTTCTCAGCTTGTGTAACATTTGTTTTCTACATGTGCGGCTCAGCTCTAGTCAGGCTTGCATAAAGTTACCTACATCAATCCCCAAGGTGGATGAGATTTAAATATATCGGCTTTAGGATGAGGAAGGCTGAATCAGCCCCACTGGGATTCCAAACTGCAAATTCAGAGAGTTGCAAGCACTGAAGCCTGAGGACATGGTTTTGAACTGCACTCTCAGTCATAAATACAGGCCTCAATGCTCATTATTCCATACCGTAATTAGCCTGGATTCTTTCCTCCCTGTATTTTGCCTTTGAGGGGCAGGGAGTTCACCGATGCCTTAGTGAGATGAATGAACATCCCCGTTCTCATGCTGAAGGAGAGGCAGGAACCGTGAAGGATTTTAGCCATGAATAACCTCAAAGAGTGACTCCTGAGAAATGCTGGAGACACAAGGACGGGGCAGGGTTCTTGCAACACAGGTGCCTTTGAAGGAGCTGGAACAAGAGCTGCAGGCACTGACAGACTCTGGTTTCACCTTTCTACAAGAGTCAGAATTTGCACTGAGAATTTCCCTGCAGTGAGGAACTGTCCTGATGACATGCATGGATTTACTCACTGCCGAGGTGGGATTACATCCCTAAGTAAGGCTGTAGCAGCAGTGGTAATTAGCTGCACAGTGATTGACTTGGACAACACAGAGACTGAAATAAGATGGAACCTGTGCGTGTCCTCAGCGAAGATGCTGGAATGTATCCTGGAGAAATGGTGAAACCATTTGTGTCAAAGCCATTTTGGGGCCAGTGGAGGCAAATCACAGCCTAATTAGTCCATCTAGTCTGAGCATGACTGACTGCAGAAGGGTAAGGGCAATTTCTTCCAGCTGCTCTCCCTGTATTTATTTTTATTTTCTTAGATAGGGAAGCTCAGGAGAAAGATGATGCTGTGGTTTCAGCACATGACTGGTTCTGCTTTCATTTCCCAAGCAGTTTGAGGCAAATCACTTCATGCCTCTGTGTTTTTTGACTTTTTCTCCAGTACAAAATGTCTTTTCTCCCAAGAGACACTTGAAGCTTGAAGTCATTGATTTTAGTGACTTCCGTACGGGATGTGCTGTGAAAGTGTTTGAAAGCAATTGAAAGTATGACAGAAGTGCAGTGGAGTGAATCCTCTGAAATCTTGGAGTTGTACATGTGTTCCTTTAATTATTGTGTACAAATAAGCAATAAAGGGAACACTTTTAATCTGCACTTTGTAATAAATATTAAACACTAAAAGCTAGATAATAAACCTCAAAAGCAGGGTGTGTAAGCTAAACTAGTAATAATTGAGCAAGACATTAAAACTAGATCTTTCTTCTAACCTTTTAGTGCTAAATTACCCAATTAAAAAAAAATTAAAATGTTCACATGACAAAAACTTTCTCATCATCAATTCAAAAGTACTTCGGTGTCCCTGGAGGCAGACACACTCCATGTGCAAGAATTGCATTCACAGGGTTTGAATATACATAGATCTCATTTCCCACTGTGGAATAACATCCTGAATTAAAGCTGTATAATTAAGCTGGAGAGGTTTGTTAAGGATTAATAAATGCTGTCTAACAGATGCTACTCCCCAAAACATCACTTGGCCACAAAGACTTTTTGTGCTTGGGACCATCTTGTGTTTGAATCATCTTTGATCTTTTTGCTCAAAAAAGCTGGCCCATCCCTGGAGGTGTCTAAGGCCAGGTTGGATCGGGCTTGGAGTCACCTGGGATGGTGGAATGCTCATGGCAGGGGTGAAACTGGATGATCTTAAACCATCCTGTGACTCTGCGACAGCCCGTGCCCAAGGAAGCTGCCTCACTGCCTCAGAAGCAGCAGGTTCTGCAGGTGTGGGCTCTGTATGGGGTTTTGGACATGCAGGCAGCTGCAATTTCAGTGTTTGTTGCAACAACAAAAGCCACTCGGTCACATCAGGTCTGCTGGAAGGAGGAGAGCCCCAGCGAGCGCAGCCACACGTCCCACAGCCATGCAGAGCCAGTGGAAGCAGTGCCTTGCTCACTGGTGTGGAAAATTATGCTCCAATAAGTCACGAGTATTGTGAGGAAGAGGAATGAAAACAAAGGTAGCATTGAATTGGAAGACTTTCCCAATGAGAGTTCCCTTCCTCTGAAACCAGCAGCAGAAGCGAGGGGCAGATATGGAGCGATGCAGTGAGTTGTGCTGGATGGTGCACGGGGCAAGGCAGAGCTGAAATCCAAATTGGCTCCACATAGCACAGCCAGCTGAGTGCAGCCTGACTTTAGGGGCCCCTACTCACTCATCTCACCAATGTCCTTTGTTGCTCCGTTATTTCTTCAGCCTGCTGGAGAAATCACAATTAACCAACGGTTAATTTAACTTTGCTGTCCAGAGTAAATCTCTTACTGCTTAGGCTGGCAGTTTTGAACCTGGTGAGGAGTGAAGTCCTGACAGCTTTGTCATGGGAACCTTGCCTGTAAAATGGGAAGGGACTGGCATGGGTGCTCCCCAGGACTGTCTGTTCCTGCATTGCCCTCCACATTGGCCTGGTGTGACCCCAAAAATATCCTAACTAGGATTTGAGTGCTGCTGGGAGAGGTTAGATGTGAGTGGGGATTGCAGGAAAGAGCAACTCCCCTCCAGATCTATTATTTCTCCTTTTCTTATAAATTGGGGTCAGAAGGTAAATGGAACATGCTGGAGCAGGAAGAGGCGACTGATGGTGGATATAATTAAAAAGACTCTTTAATTACAGGATTTGGAGAGAGGATTCTTCATGGAGATAATTTTTTAATTGTTGCTGTTTCAGGAAAAGAATCCCAGTGCTCCCAAGCAGTTCCCAATAGCAAAAGGCCTGGTCTCTGAGCACTGCTGACTCTGATCCCTTCAAGATGGGGCAGAAGAAAATCCTGTGTTTGTTAGAGCTCCCCCCCTTAAACTTCAACTTCTCCTGAAGAGAAGTGTTTGTTTCCTTCCATCTGCTGCTTTTGCAAGGAAGGAAAATCAGCCTGTTCAGACACCAGGAAGTTCTTCAGCATGGGAACAGCTCGCTGTAACTGCAGGAACAATAACGGGTAGAAATTATCATACCTAAAAATACCCTGCATGCGAGTCACACGCATAAGCCAGCCCGGAGCAGCCCGGAGGAGCCAGGGGTGGATGGAGCGAGTGGATCCGCGGGATGTGCTGGGTGTGGGCAGCGCGGGGGCACCTGCCTGCCTCTGCTGCACTTCTTGTTTTCACCAAAACACGTCTTACTTTTGCAGGGAGCTGTCGGCTCCTCCTGCATCTTTGTGCACCGCAGCTGCCCGAGCCACTGGCAGGGGAGATGAAAGCCAGAGCCTGTGCAGAGCCATCTGACACTTGGATCTCACCCATGCCATCCCCACAAGGGCGCTGGGTGAGCAGCTGGGGGGCTGCAAGGCCGATGTCAAAGGCAGCAGCTCTCCACACGTGCCAGGAGAGCCAGGGCAGGTGAGGTGGGGAGCAGGGGATGAGGTGACACTGCCCACAGGCCGCTCGGGGAGCAGACAAAGCCCACAGCCCGCAAGTCACCCCGGTTGTTACCCTACAGCTCACCGCCGAGGGAAGTCCGTGGTGTCTCCTGCAATCAATTCCTACGCGGGCTGTGCCTCCAGCATTTGCTTTTCCGAAATTTCCGAGCGCTGGGCGCGTTTCCACGGTAACGCCGAGCGATGCTGAGGGCTCTGCGGAGCCGCAGTTTCGGCTTTGCACACCAGAAGCTGCAGCTGTGGCACAACAGGGCTGATGTGGGAACGGTGTGTGTGCAGGTCACCGGCGCTCACCAGGTGTCCTTCGTGCCGGCAGCATCCCGGAGAAAGGACTGAAGCAGCTCCAGGATGGGAAGAGTGCAGACCTCAGCCGGGTTCCCATCCCGTCCATGCCAGCGGGGCACAGCCCCCGGTTAGCCCAGCACCACGGTCCGGTGCCTCCGAGCCCTCCGGTGCGTGATTCCTGCCTGTGTCCGTGGAACCCGTGGGTCTGTGGCATCGAAATGGCCCCGATGGCACAAGCGAAGAGCTGGGTCACACAGAGCCAGAGCCCAGGCTGCCCTGCCCTGCGGGAGAGCCGGGAATGCCGCTGCTGTCAGCTCCTTACCCAACACCAGCCACCGAGAGACCCGCCCGTGGGCTGACACTGCTCATGGAGACATGGCCATGCCATTTATTTAATCTCTGTGGCCTAAAACTCTTCCCGTGTCTGCCCACAGGCGTCCGGCTACAGCCCGCCACACCCGGCATTCCCGTCCCGACACAAACCAAGGGCTCTCCAGCACGACACAATCCCGGGAGCACTGCTCCTAGCCAGGGCATTTCAATTATTAAAATGAGAAGGAACTGCATGGGCTGGATCCCAGGAAAGCAATTTGTAGCTCATTTTTCCTTACGATGAAATAGAAAAATTAATCTAACTTTGAAGAGCTTTGCATGCCAACAACGAACCAAGCCTGTGCAAGGAGAGGTCGGGCACATTTTCATGAGAGCTTGAAGGCAGCTGGAGCAACAGCAGGAAGGTGTTTTGGGGATACCACTGTGCCAGGACAAGCAAGGACATACAGAGATCATGGTCTCTCCATCCCCCAGAACGACCCCAACATGCCCCAAAGTGAGTCCCTACAGAACAGTTCAAGCGTGAGAGCAGCTCGTTTTGGTGGGACAAGGCTGGGAGCTTCCCTTTGGGGCTGAAAAGCTGAAGGACAGAGTCGGCTGGATCCCTGCTGTGACGGTGACACTCCAGCAGAACCACATCGAGATATTTCTGGCCGTTTTAATGGATTTGGAAGAAACATTGCTTCCCACAGCTTTCCCCGGTCAACAGGCGCCCTTGCAGCGAGGTGACTGACCCGAGCGGGCGCTTGGCAGCCGCAGCGCATCACTCCGGCTGCCTTCAGCCGTGCCGAACGCCAGCCCCGCTCCGGTCCCGTTCTGGTCCCGCTCGGTCCGGCTCCGGCCCCCGCTCCGTTCCCGCTCCGCTCCCGCTCCTGCCCCCGCTCCTGCCCCGCTCGGTCCCGCTCCTGCCCCGCTCCTGCCCCGCTCGGTCCCGCTCCTGCCCCGCTCCTGCCCCGCTCCTGCCCCGCTCGGTCCCGCTCCTGCCCCGCTCCGGCCCAGCCGCGCTCCCTCCCGCGGGGCCGGGCCCGGCGCTCTCCGCCCAGCCACGGGGGCGGCCCGGGCGGCGCCTCCCGGCCCGCGGAAGTGATCCCGGGCAGGGCGAGCCGGGAGGAAGCGGAGGCTCCGGACAGAGGTGATCCGCAGAGGAGGCGGCTAGGCGGGCAGACGCGATCCCGGGAGGAGGCGGCGATCCCGGGCGGCCCCACCATGAAGCTCATCATCCTGGAGAATTACTCTCAGGCCAGCGAGTGGGCGGCCAAGTACATCCGCAACCGCATCGTGCAGTTCGGGCCCGGGCCCGGGCGCTTCTTCACGCTGGGGCTGCCCACAGGTGGGTGCCGGGGGACGGGCGCGGGGCCGGGGCCGAGCGCGGGCCCTGCCCCGGCTGAGGCGGCCGCTCCCCGCAGGCAGCACCCCCCTGGGCTGCTACAGCAAACTGGTGGAGTATTACCGCAACGGGGACCTCTCCTTCAAGTACGTGAAGACCTTCAACATGGACGAGTACGTGGGTGAGTGCCGCAGCCTGTCCCGTCGCCTCTGTCCCTGCCCGGGAGCTGCCGGACCCTTAGCCCGGCAGAGCCTGGCGGTGCCAGAAATCCACCTGTCCAGGTAAGATGGACAACATTTCACAGAGTTACAGCATCGGTTAGGATGGAAAAGACCTCTGAGATCATCGAGGCCAGTCTATGACCCCACACCGCCGTGTCAGCTAAACCATGGCGCTGAGTGCCACCTCAGTCTTTCCTTAAACACCTCCAGGGAATTGGCAAAGGGGGACAGTTTGAAAACCTGTGGAAGAAATTTGAAATTTTTCCATAGGTTTGAAAACATATGGACAAAACTGGACACTGGGTGTTGCCCGGTATTGCACACACTATTACAGACACTGCTGTACGTTAGCTGCACTCAGGTACTGACCAGGTAAGGAACAGCTTATCACTGCAGTGTGCAGCATTAACTTCCACCTTTGCTCTGGCATTGTAAAGGTCCCTTTCAAGGACCACTCTGTTCCCTGAGTGCCCTCTGGTATCTCCTGTTGAGATAGCAAAGGACTGTCATTTCTGAAGTCGTGATGAAATAGTCTCCTCAGAAGAAATAGATCCAAAGGTGAAAAAAAATACAAGCTAAATATTTGCTAATGCTAATTTTATCCTGGTCAAGAGTTTGTGGGTTTTTTTTCTGTGAATAGTCAAAATCAAGCAGCATTAGGGAATAAGCAGTCCAGTGTGGGTTTACAGCATTCAAGGCAGGGTAAATATGCAATAATTATAATTATTATTTTTCAGGCTTCTGCACAGTTTTTTAATAATTCTTACTAATATGAAATGGGAAAAAGGTACTGACAGATGAGGCACAGCACACACCTACTTTTTGAACATCTGTTGTATGTTAATATGAGCATGTGTCTTACAGGAGCTGATTTTAATTTTGGTATTTAGGGAAATAAAAACAACTCTGAAAGCTGAGGGCGTGACAAGGGACAGAGAGAGCAGTGCTGTGTCACCAAAGCCACTGCAAGGGTATGGAAGTGCTTTGTTATGGGTGATACTGCTCCAGCTGCCTTCAGTCCTGTGTGCTCTGTTACCAGGTCTTCCAAGGGATCACCCAGAAAGTTACCATTCCTTCATGTGGAATAACTTCTTCAAGCACATTGACATCTCACCAGAAAACGTCCACATCTTGGATGGAAATGCCCCTGATCTCCAGGCAGAGTGTGATGCATTTGAGGAGAAAATCAAAGCAGCTGGAGGCATCGAGCTCTTTGTTGGAGGTGAGAACCCGAGAGCAGCAGCCTCTAAACCCTGTCCCAAAGCTGGGCCTGTCCTCCCCAGCTCTCATTTATTGCCAGGATTGTTCATTTTCAGTGCATTTGCAGTGAAATCCACCCCACAGTCCGTGGCCCTGGGCACTGCTGTGTCCAGCAGCCTTGTCTCCCCACGTAGCACTCCCAGCTTTAGGTCTCTCAGTGCAGTCAGTGAATTGTTCAGGAAATGTTAGCAGGAGAAATGGGAAGGGCTAGAATTGTACAAATACAAAGTGTTTATCAATTGTCAGTGGCAACAGGAAACTGCTGGGAGTAGCTTTTCCCACACAAGCTCTTCCCATAAGGTTCTGCCACCTACTTTGCTTTGCTGTTGTCCCAGCGCAATCAGGGAATTGTCTGGTGACTTCTGAGGGGGCTCTTGCTGTTGTTCTACCAGACACAAATCTGAGCTGGAGCAGAGGAATTGCAGGGGTTTTTCTCAGCTCTGTGTTCCCAGGAACACTGCCTGTCCTTCTCCTGGGAGAGCTGCTGGCTCTGCTCCCACAGCTGACCCTCTGCTCACGCTGTCCCTGTCCCAGGTATCGGCCCCGACGGTCACATCGCCTTCAACGAGCCGGGATCCAGCCTGGTGTCCAGGACACGAGTGAAGACCCTGGCCATGGACACCATACTGGCCAATGCCAGGTTCTTTGATGGTGACCTCTCCAAAGTGCCCACCATGGCTCTGACAGTTGGAGTAGGCACTGTCATGGATGCCAGAGAGGTGAGGAAATAAGAAGTGGCTTCCTGCAGTCCCTCTGGAGCAGCCAAAGCTTATCCTGTTATGGAGCAGCCACGTGTCCTCTGGAGTAGGGTATTCCTGCCACAGAATGCCTGATCCTCCTGTCCTCTGGCGTCCTGCAACACCTGGAGCCTCTTGCTCCGTCTCTGCTGGCACTTGTGTTTGTGTCACCCTGCATCTGCTGTTCCCCCCAGGAGCCAGGAAGGTTTGGGAGGGTGATTTTGGTTAGGGATCTCACCTGGAGAGTAACTGCAGAAATCAGGTTGAGTTGATGTCACACCAGCTGGTCATGAAAACTGTGTGGGACCACTTTTACTGGAGTCTATTCCTTGATCTACACTTGTTAAATCTCAGTGTACAGGTGCCCAGAGGATCACTCCAGTGACCCACCAGGCTGTGGTTTCATTGAGGGCTGAAGCACCAGAGCAGCAGCACACAGAAGTGGCTGTGGGTGACAGGGATGTCCCCATTCTCAGCTTGGCAGGCTCGGGCTCTCCCTGACCCCCCGTGCCAGGCCCTGACTGCCCCTCTCTGTGTCTGGGGGTGCAGGTGATGATCCTGATCACGGGAGCCCACAAGGCCTTTGCTTTGTACAAAGCCATCGAGGACGGTGTCAACCACATGTGGACGGTGTCAGCCTTCCAGCAGCACCCCAACACCGTGTTCGTGTGTGACGAGGACGCCACGCTGGAGCTCAGAGTCAAAACAGTGAAGTATTTCAAAGGTGAATGTTTGACCAGGCCAGGCAGCTGTTTTGTTACATTTTTAGGAGCCACGAGCCATGCTTTGCAGAGATGTTGCTGTATAAGTAACTCCCAAAGGAGTATATTCCTTAAATACACTGCAGTAGTACAAGTGTGAAGGTAAATGCTTAATGCTTGGTGTGGAGCAAAGGCACAAGGACAACAGCAATGTCTAATTCTATTAGCATCCAATGAAGGAGAACTTTCCTTTATTATGTCTACTTAAATTGTCTTTTGCCTCTCTCCATCAGGCTTAATGCTGGTTCACAACAAGCTTGTGGAGCCCTTGTACAGCATGAAGGAGATGGGAGCAGAGAGGAGCCAGTCCAAGAAGCCATACAGTGATTAATGTGCTGGGGCAGTGCTGAGCCAGCTGCTGAAAACAGCTGGAAGAAAAGGGAATTGCTGCAGAAACTGATCTCATATTTGTTTTTAAATTAGCAGAATGATTGTATGGTTCCTTCTCTCCATTAAAGAGACAGATGCCAAACACCTGCCTTAATAACCCAAAGGAGGATGGGATCCAGTGTTCTGTTTTCCACAAATTTCTGCCACCAGCTCACTCTCTGAAAGAAATGAAGAATGAGTTGTTTGATCTGTGAACTGGCTGTAATTGTGGCCTGAAGGCTGCAGAACTGAAAAGTGAGGATAAATGAAAGTACAACAGAAACAAGTGGGTGATCACTTTGGGGTGTATTCCTTGCAATTAGGACAAGTATCTTGTGTTACTCCTTCCTCCTCCATGAGACACTCACATTAGAATCCTGGAAAAGAGGATTGTCCAGCTGGAGAAAGGAAAGCTCAGAGCAGCACCCAGAGCCACGAGAGGGCAGGAAGAAGATGGAACCAGGCAGAAGATGGGAAGGGACAGTGGGGCCTGAGTGGAGACACGATGCTCACGCTGGAGATGATAAAACCCCACAGTGGGAACAGCCAAGCAGTGGGGCAGGATCCCCACGGCTGTGCAGGCTCCTTAGGAGGTTGCCAGGACCTGACTGGATAAAGCCCTGGCTGAGCCCTGCTTTGAGCCACATGCTGGACTTGAGACCCTCAGCAGAAGAGGCTGCAGCAGCATCCCCCACACGGGGTCCATGGTGCAGCTCAGGCACCTGAGCATGGCACTGCTGTCACACACAAAGCCCTTGCTCATGTTCAGGCCCAGGTATGATTTGCTATGCCTGGTGCTCTCTCTTCTCCAGGATTTTCTGTTTCTCTGAGGAAATGCCAAACCAGCCCCAAAGGAAACACTCTGTTCCTGCTGGCTTCAGCCTCTGTTTAAGTACAGACACCCCACACAGCCAAGACCCCACCAATTCTGAAATGTGATTCCTGGGATTTCTATCCAGTGCTCTCACACGAGGGGCAAGAAAACTGGGTAACATTTATTTTCTTTATACAGAAATTTTGTAAGTGGTTGATCTGTAATGTAACTTCCTTCACTAAATGTCTTTACATTTTTTAAATGGTGACATTTGCCTGTATGTGGTGCTCGATCTCAGTGTGCTCATGGTACCAAAGCTGCCCTGGAGGCAGTTTGGTGGGAAGGGCTCCTGCTGCTCCCCCCTTCCTGCCTAGTGTTTGCTGGCAGTTTTTTCTCAGAGGGAAAAGCAGGGCCCTCAGGGTGGGAGGACACTTGGCATCCACAGAAACCCCGTGAGCAGAACACATCCTCTGCCAGCTGCAGGTGGGAGCTCTGGGCTGTCCCATTCCCAGGAGCAGCTGGGCACACCTGGGTTGCCAAATCCATGCCAGAAGGAAGACAAACAGGGACACTGTGTTTGCCATCTTAAAGTGAATTTAGTGCATGTGAAAGGTGCAGGAAATACAACTCAAACCATACGCAACGTACACTTTTCCTGCACACTGACCTAGAGATCCACCTGAGGTGAGATTTGCTCTTCCTTTCATATTTTTAATCTCTGTGCCAGTTCCAACAGTGCAGTCTCCTCCTCTGCAGAGGGAACTGAAGCACCACTCGTTTTGGCCACACATCCCAGGATAAATTCATTAACTCTCAGTCAGAACTGACTGAGCTGTAATCACCCTGAGTTCCTGAGGAATCTCAGCTCCAGAGATTTCCATCCAGGCCCTACTGCTCTTGAACACAGCACATGCAACTTTAGTTTTCAAATAAACTTTTAGACTGTTCTGCAACTGGAAAAACTTGTAAAAAATCAGTGTTTGCCTCCAGTAATCACCTTCATACTCTCAAAACCACTTGCTGAGATTTTAGGAGAAACAATTTGGTTTCTGAAATAATTTGAAGTGCAAAACCAGTGGAAATAAAGGATCTAGTCCAGAAGCAAAAGTATCAACAATCAAATTTCTTATATGAAGAGTTAATGAAAAATAAATTAATCAACTGAGAACACAAGGTAATTGTCAGTATCTTGAGGAATTCAAGTTCATCTCTTCCTGATACTTTTCACCCTCTCACTGGTCACATCCTCAGCTCACTGCCTTGGCACTCATCCCTGCCAAAACAAGGACAGGCAATGTGAGGGAATCCAACAGCAACACTGGGAGTCACCAACCTCTCAGAAATCCCTGGAAACGGCTCTTGGTCATTTTCTGCCCAAGCTCTCAGGGATGCAAAGGCTCAGGCACAGCAGCCAGTGAGAAGGGTTGGGGATAATCAGCTTTAATGTCATCAGAAAGTACCAGTGACAGAGCCAGAACTGCTTTTCAGAGAAGCACATCAGGAAATTCATAAAAGCAACAAACTGTTGCTGAATATGGAAGAAATTCTCTGTATTGTATCAGGAAACTCCCCCAGCCCAAGCAGCTCCAGAGAGAGCACTACAGCTCCACCAAACCACCCCAAGCCCCACAATATTCATGATCCAAGAGTCTCCAGGGGCCAGTCTCCCTAAAGGAAACCCCCAAAATACTTCCAGGATTTGAGGCTTCAGTTTTATCTGTTGGCTTTTAAAAAAGGGGCACCTCTTGGTACATATTTTTCCAATGGTTTTCCAATTTCTGGCTTCTTTAATAATGGACGTTTGTTTGGGCATTCCATGATGATCCTGATCCCATGATGGGGAAAAGTCTCCTTTGGTTTTGGCAACAGGCTCTGAGGTGTGAATGTCCTGCAGTGCAGGGCAGTTACCACTCTTCTGTCACACAATGGAAGTGAAAAGCAAACAAAGGACACACAAAAAGCATCTGCCTCTGGTTCCTTCACCTTTTGGTGCTGGAGGAAGCTACTGATCATCGTCTTCCACTTCCCAGAACTCCCCATCATCAATGTGCATGGCTTGAAACAATCTGCAAGACAGAAAATCAGTGATATCAGGGCATAAAGAAAGTCAAATACGTTAAAAATGTATCACCATAAATGCAAAAAATGTGATTTTTTTCAGTATCACCAACCACCATCCATGCCCTGTGGAAGGGGCAAGAGAGGCGGTGCCATTGTCACCCTCCTGGGACCTGCCTGTCACCTGTCCCACAGCAGCACCTCTGTCCCTTGGCTCTTCCCCAAGGGAATGGGAGGCAAATCTGCAGCTCCTTAAAGCAGCTCTTCTCCAAATCCTCAAGCTGCTCCTGAGCATTGGCAGGGAAACATTTCCCTGCAGGCTGTGCCAGCACAGGAGAGGTGAGGTCATGACCTGACCAAAAAAAAAAATCAGGAATAGGCTCAGAAGACTCCTACAAAATTTTAAAACCAAAGTTCTTAAAAAGCAAAACCACATCCTGAATCACTCCTGATTTTTACTGCTAGTGCAAATATTTGAGAGGAGAAACTGTGTCTTAAACTGTAGTTACAAATTTCAGGTTAAGAATCTGGGAGAGACTGTAAGGAAAAGTAGGGAACAGGTGTTCCAGCAGAGCAGGAGGTCCCTGAAGCACTGACCTGTTGAAGCAGGGGGAGGAAGGGTCGTTGAAGTGCCGGTAGGGGTTGGCCCGGGACAGGGAGCCCATGCAGAGCCAGCAGAAATACTGCATGCACCCTGTGCAGGTCATCTTGTTACAGCCATCCAGTTTCTGGGGGGAAAAAAACAAGAAATGGTGATAGCAGAACCCTGCTGTGGCAGGCTTCAGTCCCTCCACCAGCCCTCGGAACCACAGCAGTCAGTGAACACATCCCCCCCACACTGGTTTCACTGGGAGCTGGAATCCAGCACTGGGAACTGGTTATAATACTAATAATACTGGAAATGAGTATTTTTCTGAAGCTGGATAGATTTCCTGGCTCTAGTGTGAACCAGAGGTAGCCTGAAACAACTGGAAAACAAAAGGGTTCATACAGATCCAGAGTCAAGCTGGACCTGTTTAGTGTGGGAGCCTGACCACCTTTCACCATTTGTACTCCAGTCCTTGGGATCCACAAACATCACCTTCTCCTTGTCACACAGAAATGGAAACTTCTCTCAGTATTTCCAAGAGATTTCCTCTCCCTAGAGGCTCCAACACCCCAGAACTGCCTCCTTGGGGGTTATTTTCTGTTCCATGATTCCCCAGCCTTTCCCTCCTCACTCACCTCGATGTGGGTCCCACAGCAAGGACAAGACTTGGAGTTCTTTTCCAGCCATTCCTTACTCTCCATCTCCTCCAGGGCTTTCTGAATCACTCTCTTGCCATAGCGTTGTTCCAAAAATCTTTTATTTGTCTCATCTGCTTCTAAATACTCATTCCTCAAATCCATTAATTTCTCTGGGGGGCAAAATCAAACCAAACCTTTTGTAAGATATTAGATATAGAAGTCCGGCTAATTGCAGCATAAAGATTCTCAAGGAACAATAACATCATGAATTAAAAAGCAAGAAAACTATTAAAATACATAAGATGGTAATATTAAAACCAATATTCAGCAGTTTTACACTGTTTTATTATAAAAGAGATCTGTTGATGGAATTAGAACAATGTAAAATAAACTCTAAATGGAAATATTTTTTCTAACTATATATTTAATAAAATTCTGTCACAGGATTTTGAGGCCAGACAGAGAGAGAAGCCTCCACCTGATTCCAGTATTAACTCTGACAATACAAAGTAGTGGAAATATAAAGTAATTCTTGTCCTGCTACAGCCTCTCAGCATTTGACAATCAGCAGTTTAGGGAGCTCCTGAGCTGAGGAGTCTCACCAAAGGAATATTTAATTGCCAGCAACAGCCCTCCTCCAAATGAATGTGCCTTTCAGAAAGCTCAGGGTGAGGAGTTGCCTTGCTCAACTTTGGACTTTTCCAGCCAAGATTTAGCTGTGCCTGGGAGTGCCTGTGGAGCCCAGGAGGAGGTGCCTCACCTGCAGTGACCTTGCAGGGGGACACACCATGGTAAGTCATCTTGCAGAGGGTGCAGAAGGCGTAGTTGCAGCAGGAGCAGATGCCCATGGTGCAGCCGGGCTCCTGCATCACGGGGGTCTGGCAGCCAGGCCGGGGGCAATAAACCACGTCAGCCATCAGGTCCAGGCTGGACTGCAGCAGCAGGCGGTCATAGCGGGCAAACAGCTCCTCCCCAACCAGCTCCTTCACCTGCAAACACAAACAGATGCAGGGAAGAAATCCCTCACCCACACCCACTGAGGCCCTGGCACAGCTGCCCAGAGCAGCTGGGGCTGCCCCTGGGTCCCTGGCAGTGTCCCAGGCCAGGCTGGACAGGGCTTGGAGCAGCCTGGGACAGTGGGAGGGGTGGGAATGGATGGGCTTTCCCACCCAAACCAGTCTGGGATTCTCTGATTCCTTGCATCTGTAATTCTGAGCCTGCTGCAGCAACAAACAGCAAGTCAGTGAAAAGGTACCAACAGCTGGGATGAATCCACTTTAGAGTCTCCTTCAGGTCACAGGGAGTCAAGGATCTGCTCCCAGGAACCAAGGGACAGACAAGAGGAAACTGCCTCAAGCTGTGCCAGGGGAAGCTCAGGTTGAATATCAGCAGGGATTTCCCCATGGAAAGGGTGCCCAGGCATTGGTAGGGGCTGCCCAGGGAGGTTTGGAGTGCCAAGGTGCCCTGGAGGTGTCCAAGGATGTGGCACTTCATTATATGGTTTAGTGGCATGGTGGGACTGGGTCAAAGGCTGAACTTGGTGATCTTGGAGGTCTTTTCTGACCTCAATGCCTGTGTGATTGCCAATGTCCACCATGCAGAGCCACAGCCTGGCCCTGGGCTGGGTTCCAGAGCTCCACAGCCGCTGTGCACGGGAATTACCTGGCCTGGAGTGGCGACAGAAGAACACTTGGGCTCGGGGCAGTTGAGGCAGTGCACCTGTCCATCCCTGATCTGGATTTCAAAGTAGTCCTTCAGGCAGGCTTTGCAGTACACGTGGCTGCACTCGGTGAAGTGCATGCACTCACTGCCCAGCTTCTCACAGAAGCAGATACTGCACGAGTACATCTTACTGTTAAAGCACTTCCTCCTCTGGGCCTGGTCGAAGTCCAAGATCTCCCTGATCAGGCTGGACAAGGATTCCACATCCTGCACAGCCCTGGCATCCACGATTTCCTCCTCAGCTGTGGCAGAGCCTGTGGCACCCCCACAGTCCTTCCCAGGCTCGAGGGGTCCCACTGGTGTCCAGCTCTGCCCCTTGCCCTGAGGGCACATTTTCAGCTCGTATGGCGATGAAATATTCAGGTAATTCAATGTTTCCTCCTTCAGAAACTGCATCCAGGCAAACAGGACCACACAGCCTCGGTTCTCTTCCCACACATTGTCCAAGTGTTTGCAAAGAGCGCTGAGCTGGGAAAGAACAAAGAATTCCTGATTTCAGTAAGTTTGAGTACTCCTCACTGGGCTCCTCCCCTCACACAATCCTTAGTGCAAACTTTGATTTCAGATTCAGCAGTTTTTATCCATAAAATACACGTAAAATAGTTCTCACAGATGCAAGCTTTCCTTCCTCAGAAAAGTAATAAAACGAAAACCAGTAAGAGACAAAAGAAGAGCCAACTGAGCAAGCAACATCACTTGTTTTTTTACTTTGCTTAACTGTTAGTTACTAACTTACTCAGCAGTCAAAGTGTAAAAAATCCTCTGCAAACCTGGGCCTGGGAGAGCCATTTCCCACTGAGGGTGAACACGGGCGGGGAGGTTGATGGGTAGTCAGGTGGGAGCTCGAAATTCAGCACGAGGGGAGGCAGGAAGCACACGGAATATTCAAACCCACTGCTCTGGAGGCTCTCTGTGGAACTGCCTGAGCCAGGGCCCACCGAGGCAGTGGGAGAAATAACAGAAAAATGAAAACTAACCAACTGTTGCTGTTTCTGACAGCATCCCAATGTCTGTTAGTTTGATATATTTCTGGGGTTAAAACTTTGTTCCACCCTAAATAACAAAATTCTCAGTGCAGTAAAATGTCACAGGGTTGGAGGTCTGTGATTAAAGCAGTTAAACAGCAGCACCGTGAAATGTCAGATCCTGCACAAACCAGGAGCCTGGAAACACATATCCTTGGGGGAATAAAAACCCAATAAACGAACTTAATTATTCTGAAGAAGTGCTATTACTCATCAGTGATTTTAAAGCTTACTGAAGATGTTCTGTGTTTGAGGATTAAACTGCTCAAACACAATCCCCAACAAGCACAGCAGAGGATGAGCCACAGCTTTGTCCAGTCACTGCTCCCTCAGGTCACTCCCCAACAACCACCTGAGCTTGGTAATCCCTTGGGATAACACAAAACATCTCAACTCACCCCTCACAAAAATTTTGAAGTCTTGAGGCAACTCCAGACAAATTCTTGTTTCTCCTCCTTGGGCAGACTCTGCTCTCTTAAACTCGTCCTCATCGTAGATGCTGGCCAGAGCCAGCAGCTCGTCCTCCTGAGCCTCCTTGTCCTCTGAAGACATTTAACTTTTCTGCAGTTACCACCACTCTGCAACATCAACCAAGTTAATGCATCCAGTTCAAATTACCAACTTGAGGAATCTATTTTATAGCATAGTAAGCTTTAGGAAAACACAGATAACCAACCTAAAACAATGTGGAAAATAATTAAAGTATTTTAAAGGTTGGGAAAAAAATATTGAGAGCTTTATAACATTTCAAAAAAAACCCCAAACCTAACAGAATATTGGGCAGAAAGCTGACTGTGTGTTAGCAGGTAAAGACAGCTGTAAGGGGGGAAATAATGAAATATGGAGATGGCACACGTGACACAGGACATTTCACTGATGTTTGGAAGAAAACAGAACCCTTAAAAAACACATGAGAAATGGATTAGCAACAGTAGCTCTTGTCCAGTGCTCTAACGCAAACAGTCCTATTTGTGATTGAAAACATCAGAAAAAGGTTCAAATCCTGCACAGGCATCTTGTAGATGCACTCGTGGAGGATCTCAGCTCTACACTGCGGGAAATGAAGGCAGTTTGATGAGTTACCTTTCGAGTCAGGGCAGCGCAGAGGCAGAGCCGAGGAGCCGCTCCCTGAGCATCCCTCCAGGCCCGGACCCTTCTCCTCCCTCAGGGCACGGCGCTGGCCCCGGCCTGGGGCTGCTGCGGACAAACAACGACACCACCACCACCGGCTCGGGGTTGAAGTCCCCCCGCTGCTCCCGTGCCCGATCGCTCAGGGCTCGGGGCTCATTTCCAGCCGCAGGAGCAGGGGCCGAGCTGCGGGCCGGGCCGGGCCGGGCCCTTCCCCGCGGCGATGGCTCCGAACGGCCCCGGGCTCCAGGCCCAGCTCCGCCGTCGCTATGGCGGCTCCGGCCGCTGCCAGCGCTGTGCCCCGGGCCCCGGGGACAGAGCCCGGCCCCCTCAGCCGCTCCTCACCCGCTCCTCACCGGGGCAGCCGCGGCCGGGCCCAGTGGGCCGGGGACAGCGAGGGGAGGCCGGCCCTGCCCCTCGCGGAGCGGCGGCGGGGAGGGACGGGCAGGGACGGGAAGGGAAGGCACGGGAAGGGAAGGGAAAGGACGGGAAGGGAAGGGACGGGAAGCGCCGACGGGCGGAGGAGGCGCCGGCCCGGCCCCGCAGCTCCCCCGGCGGCCGGGAGGGCCCGGCCGGCCCAGCCCCGGCAGGGACCGAGCGAGCACCGAGCGCCCGCCGGCAGCAGCGGTGCTCGGGCACTGAACGGGCTCCCCAGGGAAGGGGCAGCGCTGGGGGAGAGGTTGGGCTCACTGAGCCCTGGGGGTCCCTCCTAATGCAGGGCGTTCTGATTGCGATTCATTACAGGCAGCGTGAACTCACACCCACCCACCCACCCCGTGGGAAGCCGCAAAGCCCCGGAGCAGCCCGGCAGAGCTCCTTGCACACCCCAAGAAGCAGGGACACAGCCCTTCCCTCCACCCCGGCACCCCGCTCTGCATCGGAATCAACAGCTCAGCAGGTGATCCAGTAGAATCCAGTGCATTTATTTCTTGCAATAACTGAATGGGTGTTTTTCAGCTTTGGATTTTAACACATACAAATTCATTTTTGCAAGTTTAATGACAATCAGTACTAGAAGCAAATCATTGTATAAAGCTCATAGAAAAAAACAAAACAAATCAACATATCCGTCAGTTCTTGGTTTTCCTGGAAAAAAAGAAACCAAAACAAAAAACCAAGCATTCCAAATGAAGGCCTCATGGAAGCAAGCATACCCCTGCCAGAAAAAGTTAGGAACAAGTCTGAATCAACTATCAGCATAGGCAGCTGAAATACAAGTATTCACTCTTTCTACAAGCAGCTAATTTAACTAGAGACAAGGAGTTTACAGGGCCTAATTAGCTGGGGAGCTTGTGAGAAACCCACTCCCCTGTCCAGGAGCACATTCTGAGTCTGATCTGCAGTCTGGGCTAAGGAATAAAGGTGCTGATGAGCCAGCCCCTGCTCTGCAAACCTCCTGTAACCATCAACTGTTCCAGTGCAAATCAGAGTGAGTCCAGAGCAGGCATTAACACTAAACCAAGAGCAATGGAAGACTCTGCCTTGGCTCTCCCCTGCCCTCCCTGTAGTGCCAGCGCTGCAATCCACAGGGAAAGGGAAGAGCAGGGTGCACATCAGACTTCAGATGTTGCTGTCTCCCTCCTTCAGGAGAGAACTGAATCAGCCTGGACATGAAAAATGAAGAAGCAGCTTATGGCTGTTCCTAGAGGTCTAGTTAGACTACCAAAACTTCTAAATACAATCAATAAAGGCAAACACTGCTGAGCTGAGCGAGTCCTTCGCCACCTCCATGTTCTGACCTGCTGCCCTGCCCAAACCTCTCCAAGAGCTACCAAGAGTGCTGTGGGATTCACTTGCTTCAGTTTGTATTCAGAATGTACAAAGTTGACAACTTAAAGCTTTATTGTAGTTTGCAATAATATAAACAAGTGCTGAAATTCAGTCAATGTCCATTTCTGGAAGCTTCTTTTCGGTGGCTGTGGGGGCAGAGCCCTGCTCGGGGGGCTGGGTCCCGCTCCCAGCATCTCCCTGCCCATCCAATGGTCCGTTGGGTTCCGTCGGCTTCTGCTCCTCCTTCGGCAGCTCCACCTTGGGTTTGGGTTTGTTCACTATGGGATTACAAATACTTGCCAATTCCTAGAAAACACAGAAGTAACACATCCTTAGAAATGGTTTCATCTCCCACAGTTAAACTTTAACTTCTGAAACCACTGTTAGGAATACTCCAGTTGAGGTCTGACATTCCCTGGGACTTTTGAGATATCTCACCTCAGAGTTTTCTGATAGAGCAATAAACACAAAAATTCAAGGAAATACAGTGAGTTATGTATAAAAACTTACTTTTGCTTTAGCCTGTATGTCTTTTGCTTTTATAACTGGGTCCAAAGTAAGACTCCTCTTGTTCTGAAGGTTGAGGTTGTTGTTCATCCACTCCATGGCTTCATTGGTGCTCTTCTCCACCTTTGCCACGTCTCCCTCATCAAGATGCTCATACAGCTCATCCTGCAACAGCCAGACAGGAGCAGCTGTGTCAGTGTTTGAGCACAAACTGCACCCTGATGTCCTCAAAACTTCACTTCAAAGTACTAAAGACTGTTTAGCCAAGAGCCGTTGTGGTTAACAAATCAACCAAACTTATCACCCACAGCCTGGTAACCAGAGACTGAAGTTCTCCTGCTGCTGGCATTTTCCTGAGGAAATCAACACCTGATTAAAAAGAGACTGAGATGTGCAAGGCCCAAAATCCACTTCTGAAAATCTATTAAACATCAAGAACTCAAGCTCACTGGGAGGTTGCACCAGACTTTTGTCTGAAGCAGATTACCTAAAATTCAGAAAATATTTGTACCATTTCCTTGCATTTTCCAGAAATTAAGTATGGAAATACCTTTGCTTTGAATGCATGAACAGCTTTCATGTACTGCTGGATTTGCTTCCCCAAGTCCTCAAATGCCTTTGGTCTTTCCTCTGATTCTTGGAATCTTGCCTGAATAGGCTGACCCAGAGTCTGAAACAAAGCACAACAGACACCAAAACTCATGGAGCATCACTGAGGGATCCTCAAGGTTTGACAGGATACATCAGCTTTTCTGAACTCCTTGGAACTCTGACTCTTCCCTCAATTTACAGGGGAGACTGAGCCTCCCTCAGCTCTGTTGTTATAGGGTCTGTTGGAGATCCACTCCTCACACCCTTACAACGCAAACCAAGCTGTTACCTCAGAATCAGCAGATCCCAGACAGCTCCTCACTGGAACAAAGTTCTCCAGCTCCAGTAAATTCCCACAGGAATATAAGAACCACTTACCTTCAGTTCTGCCAATTTATCAATGTATACTTGTTTGGGCTGATCTTCACCATCTTCATAAAGCCAAATTTCTGTATCTTCCAGCTTCAGTGTGAAGCTATTGCGATCCTGCAGCAATGCACACAAAACAGGCAGGTGACAAATGGCACCAAATGGTACCTGGAACCTCTCTGCAAGGGTTACATTTTTAGAATATAAAGAACTCTGTCTGAGACTCTTTATCATATTTTAGTGAAAAATACGAAATAAAATATTCTTCTGTACAGCTTTGTGGTGGATTCCAGGCCCAAGGAAGAACCGGTGTGACAGCCCCAGTTCAGATCAAATACTGTCACATAAAAGGCTTTTTTGTCCCCTGCAAGCTTTCATTGTCCCTACGTGAGCAAGCCTGAGAACAGAGGGAAACTCTTCTTTAGCAAAGGTGCCATAAATGTCACCTGGTATGTCCCAGTTTGGGCTCTGCAGACACCTGGCTGGCAAAGCTCCATTGCAATCAATGGAGATGCAGTCAGGTGTTCAGAGATTCATCCCTAAAAGCAGAGTTAAATTCATTAGACACCAAGCTCCTTCAGTACAACAGGAAAAACTGATTAATAATGCCAAGAGATTTATTTAGGCAACCAGTTCAGTCACAGGTGCCCACATTTAGTAGATTATCATCAGAACCAGAAAGGTTACAATTATTTCTTCAAATTTGAAGTCTGAATATGTAATTGATGTAAATGAAGTATGTGATGCAGGTCAAGTTGCTGTTGCAACCACAAGGTATCAGGACAATCAAGCAGCAATACTCACATCCTCACTGACGAACTTCTCGTAAACACCACAGAGTTTATCTCTCATTTCATACACGTACTCCTCCACTGCATTCTTGGCATCATTCCTCTCCTTCTCCAGCTTATCCTGCATTATCATCTTACCCTGTGAATAAAGTGTCAAATTAATTGGCTAAAAAGCTCATTATTTATTTCCAGGACGTCTTGTTAGCAAAGGCTCAAAGCAGACCAAGATTTTACAAAACTGTGATTTACAGAACTGTTCTAACAGCACACAACTGAAAACTCATTACAGTTTTGGTGTGATGTCAATACAGCACAGGACAATCCTCCTCCAGCTGAGGAACCTCCACCCTGAGGGTCACCTGCACCTTGTACTGCAGGTGTTTCTGGAGGTTTCCTGCAGAACAACCCTTTTAGAGTGACAGCTCCCCTGACCAGGAACAATGAATGCATTCTGCCTCCAAGGGGCACTGTTGTTCACCTCAGACTTCTAACTGCCTGTTTCGTTCCTTTTAATCCTTTCCTTGACCATCCTTAACCATGTTTCATGAAAACAACATTTCTGGGGACCAACAAGTGACATTTTTAGCTTAGGCAGGAAGAGTTTACCTCGTTCTCAATGAACAAGTTGAGCATGTCCTTCCCTATCTGCCACACCAGCTGGTTCTCGATGGGAAGGTCCACTGTGGTCGTCTTCACTTTGGCCTTCTTGGCCTGAGGTGGCTGATCCACTTTCTTGTCCTTTGAGTCAGCCTGACAAGTCTGCATTAAAAATACATAAACACATTCACAGTAAAAACAGCACCACCACTCAGTTCAAGGGGAGCAGCCAAGGTTTACAGCAGAAAAACTGAGTTAGCAGCACAACAAGGGAACCAAGCACTCCCAGCCATTCTAACACCCCAGCTGCTGAAGCCTGAGATAATTAATGCAGCCACTGACCTTTTCTGGGCACTGTGTCTACATTCATGGGGGAGGGTGCTCATGGCAGAACACTGTTCTAGTATTCAAGTTATTGAAAACTAGATGATTATTTCTTCCCTGAACAGGAGAGTTCCCCCATTTTATCAGTACTGGGTCACCTGACAGGTCTGCAGTTATCAGTGCCATTTGTGTCCCTTCTAAAGGGCTCTAATCACAATAGACCACAGCACACTGAAATAAAAGTTTGGCTTCCAGAACTATGACAAAGGCAGCAGATGTGCTCACACTTCTCATATTCTCAGGAACCCCATGAAAATAAAATCTC